AACATCGTCTGGTGCCGCCTTCAGGGGCTGTAGGACACTAGAGAACTTAAACAAAAACAGCGTTTTATTGACTTGTGCTGCGTTCAGGGGCTGTAGGACACTGGACAGACCAAGAACCAAAATAGAACCATTGGTAAATTATTTTGTAAATGGTGAATGGACTTAACATTATTTATCTGATATAAGTAAACTGACTTTTTATAGATGAATGTTTCTGTTCAGTCCTGAGACGACTTCTGTTGTGACTTGGAGCTGAAGAAATGAACAAAACTGAATTATCCAGATACTCAAAGCTCTTTACAACAATCTGTGCCCTCTACCCATTCAAACAGCACCCTGGATCTGTACAAACATCTTGAAGTCAAAGCCCTCCTACAAGTCCATTGTATCCTCAAATGGTGTCCCCATTGAGTTTGTTGATCCCTATAAATATTTGAGTATCTTGGTCGACTCACATCTCTCTTTTAAGCTCCATGTGGAAAACTTGGTAAAGAAACTGAAAGTTAAACTGGGTTTCTTTTTCAGAAACAGATCCTGTCTAACTCTGAATGTTAGGAAACACCTTGTATCTGTGACTTTCCTTCCCTCCATTGATTACGGTGACATTATTTACATGAACGCTCCTACAAGAACCCTGCAGAAGTTGGATGCTGCAGATGTTGGATGCTGCAGATGTTGGATGCTGCAGATGTTGGATGCTGAAGATGTTGGATGCTGCAGATGTTGGATGCTGCAGATGTTGGATGCTGTCTATCATGGTGCACTAAGATTCATAACTGGCTGTAACTACCGTACCCACCACTGCACCCAGTATTCACTGGTTAACTGGTCACCATTAACTCCACACAGACTCTCTCACTGGTACATTTTCATCTTTAAGTCACTTCCTGGTCTGCTGCCTTCATACATCTCCTCCTACATGTCTCTGTGTGAGTGCAGCTACAGCGTGCGCTCTCAGGACATCATTACCTGCAGTGTTCCCTCAGTGAGGACTGAACTAGACAAAAGGACCTTCTCCTGCTCCGCTCCTGTTTCCTGGAATATCTTGTAAAAAAGACCTGAAGCTCTCGACCTTTGACCTCTGTAAGTGGCTTCAAACATCTGATAAGTTCCTGTTTTTAGTTTTCTACATTCACCTTATAATCTAGATGTTTGTTTCATTTTTTAATACCATTTTCTTCCACTTGTTCTCAGTTTGTACGCTTCTCTTATGGCTGAGTGGTTAGACCCGTTGTCCTCCAATACAAGAGATGGGGGTTCAAATCCACCAGCATTCACATGCCGAAGTGTCCCTGGGCAAGACACTGAACCCCTCACAGCCTCTGATGTCTCTTTAGAATGATTTGATCAATTAGCTTTGTATAGATCTAGTATAGAGCTGTATGAATGGGTCAATGAGACACAGATTGTTGTAAAGAGCTTTGAAGATCTTGATCAGATAGAAAGGAGCTGTATAGGTGCAGTCCATTCATCCATTTATTGTCTTTGTTGTCCATTGTTGTCATCCCTCTTTGTTAAATCAGGTCTCTCTTGTAAAAGAATCCCCGAGGCTCACTGTGATTTACCTGTAGAAATAAAGGTTGAATGAATGAAAACAAAGAATAATCAGTGCTTTAACACATTGGAGGAGGCGTTCAGTGTCTCGCTCAGGAACACATCAAGTGACTGCTGGTGGAATCAAACCCCCAACTCTTGCAGTGGAGGACGACTGCTCTAACCGCTCAGCCACAGCCTCCTCGATGTTGAGGGGCTGTGTGAGCAAAGCAGACACATAACTTACTGTTATAAGAACATACAGGAGCAGAAATAATCTGTTTAAAGTCCTTTAAATCCATCTGTGTTCTTTGTTAAATCAGGTCTCGCTTGTAAAAGAGTCCTCGTGACTCAATGAGACTAACTTGTAGAAATAAAGGTTAAATGAATCATAACTAAACATGTTTAACATTTGAGTTAATGTTGTTTAATTCGTTCTTTGGTTAATGTATTCAC